CTATTCATCTATTAGTAAACACTACCGTATATTATTTTTTAAGCTATCTTATTTTTTGAACTTTTATTCAAATCTTTGGTCGCAAGAAGAATTGCATGATAAATAAAAACATTTAATCAAAGTCAATTTTATTTTTCATATTCAAATGGACTGAGTGTTAACATTTAACATTTTTTGCTAATTGTCGTCAAAAATTAGGCGTAAAGCAAAAATTGATATTTCATATGGTTTTATGATAGATAAGCATTATATTCCCACTCATTATATTCGTAAATTTTGAGGTTTATCCTTCGCTTTTAAGATCATTGAATTTGATTTTTATATAAAATAGTTATATATTAGAAAATAATATGAGTTTATGTGATATTATTTTTCAGAAGATTTCATTCTATATGCCTATGAAAAGTACTCTCAAAACTAACTTTTTCCTAATTATAATTAAATCTAGAATATTGTATTATGCTTAGTATTATTTCATTTTTCTCATTCAATTTAGAATTTACAAATGTCAAAAAATTGAGAGCTGTCACTTTTGATGAATTTCTGTTTATTACAGTATTACAATTAATAAATTTAGTATAAAAACATATAGATTTAGTATAGATTTTATAGCTGTAATAAAAGAACTATTATAAAAGAGTAATTTACTGAAATGCACCTTATATTTATAAACAAAACTTATAACGTGTTAGTTACATATAGAGTTGAAATTCATAGATAGCATAGAGAAGTTGGTATCTTGGCTTAATGGTCATAATATAACCAAATTAATTCAAAATTTGAAATTTTAATATTACTGTAACTATAATATATGGATATGTTTTATGAGATCATAATAAATGACATGTTAATGTAAAATTTAGAATAAAAAATTATATTTTTTTTAAAAAAACATTGTTCATGAGTGTTAATGGGAGAAGTAGTAAATTAGTTCAGTTTGCAAGTGATGATGGTTAATCTAACTATAATTACAATCAATTTTTAAAATACTTCCCGTAGGGCATTTGTTTAATTATTTCACATTCTGATGACATAATTTTTAATATCATAGATAATGAAAGCGAAAAATATATAAAAATCGACAAACATGTTATAATGAATTGAGAGCTTTACGTGTCAAAAAACACATTTCATACTGATTTCTATAAAAGGTATCTTTATTATAGAAGTGTAAGCTATATCTGTTTGTTTTTTTATTATAACAAATTCAAAATTCTCTTATAAGGATTAGATGAAATCTGTATTACTAAATCATTAGCTAAATGAAGGTTCAAATAGAAAGTAAATATCAATTTATATGATACTGAAACCAAATAGTTCTTTTAATAAAAGATAACACGCTGAAAATTATTGAGTATTTGCAAATCTCAAAAATCTATTGGTGAATTTGGCTCAACTTTTAAAATTATAACATCCATATCAAATCATAAAAGCAGACAAAGATTAAAGCCAAACCTATCGGCCAATTTTTTTTGATATTTTGATTTTTGAGGTATACTTTTAAAAGTGGATTTAAAGCACTGATGAAAAAAATTAACTTCTGTCGTTATGATTATTGATTTAGACAATAATGATTTTAATCTTTGATTATCAAAACACTAAAGTCATCTTTTTAACATTTGCTTGGTAGCATTAACTCAAGTCTAAAGTACTATTTTATGTGGCACTCTTAGAATTTTTGTATTCATTGTACACGCTGAAATAGTACCATTAAAGTTATGGCGGACTTTCAAAAAATAGTTTGGTCACCTTTTTTAAATCCGAAAATTTGAAAACATTAAGTGTATATGATAGCATTACAAAATTAAATTTTATGTGGAAGAGGAAATAGAGGAATTAGAAGTATTATGAGAAAATAATAAGATATAAAAACAAGATTTTATTAAATGAGTTAATTTATAGAAAGGAATAACAGTGTGAATGTAGTAAATGAATGTTTTCATGATGTATTATTGAAATCTTAAGTTTTGCTAAGAAGATAATAAGGGAATCAAATTTTGTATTAGGAAGTTTGACCGACAAGAGTGTATTGTGCACTCTTGTCGGTCTGCATGTGTCATTCCGGGAGACATTGTCACTGCATGTCTCCCAGAATGAGACAATCTTCTGCAATCAGAATGTGGTTGCAAAACTTTGACCGACAAGAGTGTATTGTGCACTCTTGTCGATCTAAATGTATCTTACAATCAAAGACACTTTCATACAATCTTTTCGAAGTTAAAAAAAAAATTTAATTATTTCTTTCTTTTGTTTATTAAATCGCCTTACTCACGTACTAATCTCTTTTAGAGACTCTATCGAGCTATCCCCACATATAAACCTGTGACAATAATACATATTTACTCTCTTCATATTCTGATCTCATGACATATTGCAGCACAAACTATAATTATACAACATACCTCATAATGTCTGATTTTAGCCCTATCTAAGGAAAAATATTAAGTTGTGCAATTTGCATTTATCTCTTTATGTGATGCATATTTTCACGATCTGACAGCAGAAATCGAATCAGCGGAGCCAGAAGAATCAGATTACGTGTGGAAAATAGGTTTTGAACGCTTAGATAGGGCTAAAATCAGACATTATGAGGTATGTTGTATAATTATAGTTTGTGCTGCAATATGTCATGAGATCAGAATATGAAGAGAGTAAATATGTATTATTGTCACAGGTTTATATGTGGGGATAGCTCGATAGAGTCTCTAAAAGAGATTAGTACGTGAGTAAGGCGATTTAATAAACAAAAGAAAGAAATAATTAAATTTTTTTTTAACTTCGAAAAGATTGTATGAAAGTGTCTTTGATTGTAAGATACATTTAGATCGACAAGAGTGCACAATACACTCTTGTCGGTCAATCTTCCGCATTCAAGTTATGAATGCGGAAGATTGTCTCATTCTGGGAGACATGCAGTGACAATGTCTCCCGGAATGAGACATGCAGACCGACAAGAGTGCACAATACACTCTTGTCGGTCAAAGTTTTGCAACCACATTCTGATTGCAGAAGATTGTCTCATTCCGGGAGACATGCAGTGACAATGTCTCCCGGAATGACACATGCAGACCGACAAGAGTGCACAATACACTCTTGTCGGTCAAAGTTTTGCAATCGCGTTGTGATTGCAAAAGATTGTGCTATTCCTGCATATTTTCTACGAGCCTGCTTCATAAAATTGAATCCTTCTATCCAAATTAAATGCAATTTCGCTAATCTTTCATCTAAAATCACTAATCAGAAGCATATTGCAAGTTAACTTGAACCGGCATGTTCCTCCTATCCTGTCTTTCAGTTCTTTCTATCAGCCATGGTTCACAAGGAGGAGAGCTTTGCGCACAATCAGACATAAGATTGCGGCAGAGGAACCGGGAAGAGAGCAGCTTGAAGCGGTAAGATGTCCGAATGCTGTCTCCCAGGTGTATCTGTCAGGCAAAGTTCACAAGGAGGAGAGCTTTGCGCACAATCAAACAGAAGATTGCGGCAGAGGAACCGGGAAGAGAGCAGCTTGAAGCGGTAAGCTGTTTTCAAGTCTTTAGTTAACAAACTTTAACAAAAGACATCTAAAAAATTTGAAATAATTGCAAAATAATGCCGTCAGGTAATGCGCACCTAAGGGAGGTGTTTTGCGGGAGCTGGGGGTATCTTGGTGAGTACTCAGGAGGCCAAGAAGGGCACCCCAACCGACATTTTGCTGACGCATTGTGTAAGCAACCATTCTGATAACCGCTCAAACCGTCGGGACAAAATAATTTATGAAATTATAAGTCATCTTTCTAATACATATTTTTGGAAGGGCGTAAGATACGCCAACTTAAATATATTATTAAATATGAGAAAATCGCTCAACAAAAAAAACAATTCTTTCAAAAAGTTTAAAATTTATCTTTCTAATACATATTTTTGGAAGGGCGTAAGATACGCCAACTTAAATATATTATTAAATATGAGAAAATCTCAACAAAAAAACAATTCTTTCAAAAAGTTTGACATTGATCTTTCTAATACATATCCTATGGAAGGAGTTTACATTCACAAATAAAAACCAGTTCAAAATCTTATTACTCCTTGAATTAAAATCATTTAATTTCAAATCCATTCCAAATCCTTAAATCTGTATTAAAATCATTTTGCCAACAACCAACACAATACAAATTACATTTCCATATATCTTCTTGTCCATTTTAATTTTTTATCTCATTTTATTTAATTTTATTTAAAGCATATAGACATCGAGATCCTTTACACATAGTTATATAAAAGTCAAATACATAATAAATTCTTAATTCTAGAGATATCTCAAAATCTCAATTTTTTAATTTAAAATACCTTTCATTTTTCACAGTACTATCACAACAAACAAGCCATTTACTAATTAACACATATAAGAAAAATATCAAATTACAAAACAACTTTCAATATCATTCGCATCGAATTCTATTTTTTCATAATTATCAACTACATGTTATTATATAATATATGTCGGCGCATATTCCACTCTATACAAGTGTCAGACACACTCACACAAAGCTGTGAGATTCATACCTCTATCAGTAAGACTTCTCAAATCAAGAACACATATGTTTCACTATCGCACATCTGTGTAGGATCTAATTAACCCTTTGGACTGGTACTTCAAAATTTGATAATTTGATAATTTCATGTGATATCATCATTTGCCTTTAAAACAACTGTGCGTTAAACTAGACACGTTTCTCTATCATAATGCAAAATATCAAAGTTTGGGAGACTCCCAAAGTGTCTGAAACTGATCATAAGGGTGAAAAACCGTTTTCCAGAAGTTGGGAACGTAGGGTATTTTTTTTGTTTATGCTTCAGAATAATCGTATTATTTTCCAATGAAATTTAAATTTTCATATATAATTTTAGAAATTTTGATAATAAATCTATGGTGGTTTGATTTATTTATGGATAATTTGATAGAATATGAATAAAAAAATTAGATTAGAAGTTGAATAAAATAATAAATTCTTGTTTTTTTAGTTCAACTCAACGAGGAATGAGTATCCGATGTTCTTGTAGTCCTTGACATCAGCAAGAGCGCAACCGACGGTAGCCTTGCCGAATCCGTGGAGTGGGAATGTTCCGCTTGTCTGGATTCCGAATGTTGTAGCCTCCTTCTTTGTGACTGTAGCGAGGTACTTGCAGGAGAAGTGGGAGCAGCACTTGGAAGCACCACCGAACTTGGCTGTGATTTCTGGCTTCTCACCGTGGAGGTAGTCGATCTTAGCGCCATAAGAGCAATCCTTGCAGCAGCCTTCGAAGTTGAGGCGGCATCTCTGCTCACCGAGAACTGTGGCGATGAGGGAGGCCTTTCCGCACTTGAAGCTTTTGAGGCCGTAGATATCGACGGACTTGACAGCCTTGTTGAAGAAGAAGTGTGTGCCGATCATGGCCTTCTTAAGGTCAAGGAAGGCAGCGAATCTCTGATCCTTGCCATCCCAGTGAGTTCTGAGACCGATCTTATCAAGATCGTAGCGGATACGATAGTTGACATCTGGCTTTGTGTTGTTAACACCTGTGATGTCGAGGTAGCAGTTGACCTTGGAATCCTTGACAGCAAACTGCTTGTAGAGGTGGGCTTCGGCAGCCTTCTTGGCGGAGTTGTAGCCGAGTGTAGCTTCGTAGTGTGTGCATGTGCATTCCTTCTTGACACTGAATGTGAAGTTCTTCTCAATTGGGTTGATGCTGACTGTGACGCCGTGCTGCTTGAGATCTGGCTTAAGAACTACGCCAACAACGCCATCCTTGGCAATGTTGCAATCGACAGTGCCGACTGGTAATTTGAAGCTGCTGTTGATTGATGGATTCTGAAGTTGAAGGTCTGTGAAGACACCAACCTTGGCACCGTTCTCCTCAACACAAACACCAAGTCCTGGCTTGATGTTGAGCTTTGTAGCCTCATCACCGACAGTTTCGAATGTCTTTGGTTCCATTCCAAGAATGTGAAGTGAACTGTCAATGTGACTTTTTCGGTTAAAGCTGCTGCAATATGTTCATCATGTTGCTCAGAAAAATTCCTTTCTCTTCTCAAAGGTATCAAATATTATAATAAATTTGATAGAACAAAAGAACGATGGGGCCTCAAAAAACTATCGATAGTTTTTTGATATCACCAAATCAGCACAAATCAAAATCTAGCATGTACATGGCTACTCTATTACGATGCTAAATCTTAATACGATCATATGTTCTCCACTTTTCAATTTAGAGGTATTCAAAGATGCATGGGAAAAAAATTTCAAAACCCAAAATGTGAAGCAAATCCATCATTATCGAATTCAGAAATTTAACTACCATTCGATGCGTTACTTGATCACTCACATGAATCTATAAAAATCCGAATCTTTGGCCGAAATTCGAAATTTTCCCAGATTTGTCTTTGTGCAAATACTTTGATCTTATGATAAATTGCAACATATATAGAAGACTCAAGCTTTCTGTCCATTATTTTGAAGATTTGGCCCGTTACGACATTTTCTCCAATTTTTTGCAGGACATTTTCTTATGTTCGTATGAAGTCTGAATATACCATACATAGTAAAATGTATATCTAACTTGTATGACTTTCAAAACACTTTGTTCTATCTTGATAAAGGAACCGAGTAATAACATTGCATAGCCTTTATCATTTTTCTATAGAGCATTGAAAAATACCATAGGTGAATTGATATAAGAACTTGGTCTCATTTCAAAATATTGATTATTCAGGACATAAATTTTATATTTTTTTTAACATAAGATGAAACCGAACAAATCAACACCCTATCTAAAAGTATACATACCAAACTTCCGAATTTATGTTTACTTTTATACTTACTAGATCAATCAGATGTCATCATTATTTGTTTGCTGAGAAATAAGCTCAATGCTTAATTTTATGCATTTTATTCATACTTTAGGCGGAAGAAAGATATTATGTCACTATTTTTCCCCTCCCATTTTTCTTTCAAAAAGACCCGAATTTGAATAATGCTCATTGACATACATATTTAAACAATTACATTTCTCAATATTGTTACCTCCGGAATTATTTTAAATTTCCAAATTTAAACTTTTAGAAAATTTCTATTAAAAACTCCCATATGCTGATTCTCATATATGTTATAATTAACTCCAATTTTGTCATTTAATTAAGGCTGCATCTACCATTTTCTGACATTCTCTCAATTTTTTTGGCACCAACGACTTATCTAACAATTTTCTCTGATAAAATGTAAACATTTTTGGTAGGAAAAAAGTTATCATAAATCATAATATAGTACCTCCTATGACATGGCCTTCAATTCATATGCTTAAGGTTAATTTTCAACGATGCTTCACACCAGTTGTCAAAAATTTGAATTAACGTCAGATGGGCGTAAGTGCAGCCTTAAGATATATTGATTTTATGAGAGAAAGTCAAAAAGTGGTAAACGCAACCTTAAGAATTTTAATATTTGAATACTGGAAATATACATTATAAGTATTACACATGAATTGCAAATTAATATTTCTCATACTAACACGAAATATGACAATAATACTCTCAAATTTGAGGACTTTAGGTGTTGTAAAGCGTTTTCAAATGTAAAGTTTATTTTTTTATTTTTTTTATTTTTATTTGTTTTTAGAAATCGGCAAAAATCACAGGCATTCCCACCTGTAACGACACAAAATTGAGAGTGTTACGAACGGTAGTTTTAAGAGCGATTGTTTTAACCTACTTTAAAATTAATGAGCAGTTATTGGCTGAAACATGAAATTTGAATAAGCAATTACCAAAGTTACAGGATTTTCCATTTATTATGACCAATTAAATATTTGACATTTTCCGAATAGCATAGTTGGAAAATAAAGTATAGCAGCAATTCGATATGCAAAAGACATTAAAGAATACATTTACGCAGATTGATTTTTAAAAACACATATCGTATGCAAAATAATCATATTTGCATTTCTAGGAAAAAACAATATAATTTGATTTAAAAATTACAATTAATGATAAATATTAAAAAGTTTATATTATACTATGCAATATCTTTTTTTGTTAGTACTATGTTCAAGTAGTAGTATATGTTGACGGGTTATGTGACTTTTTTTGTAAACGTAAGAATTCATACAATATCGAGCGATTTTGTATCATTTTTTTTAACATATGAAGTAAAAAATGTATGATTCTTACGGTTTTGATTCTTACGTTTTTGAATAAATCAAGATTTAAAAAATTTTCAAAATTGTAAGACATTTACACACAACCCATACATAATGAAATAAAAAATGAAAAATTAACATTAATTAAACATTGTTTAAATCCTGAATACGGTGTAAATAGGTTTTTATTCTTACGTTTTTGAATAAATCAAGATTTAAAAAATTGACTTCTTACGTAAAATTAAAACTAAGTTAAATTTATTTTTTTATTTTTTAATTAATGATAAATGAGTGGATCAAGATTCGTAACCGTCAATCAATTAATGGATGCTCTTTCACCAATTCTTGAAAATGTTAAACAAGTAGATGTTTATTTCGATGATTATGTTGTAAATGAATGTTTTCATGATGTATTATTGAAATCTTGAGTTTTGCTAAGAAGATAATAAGGGAATCAAATTTTGTATTAGGAAGTTTGACCGACAAGAGTGTATTGTGCACTCTTGTCGGTCTGCATGTGTCATTCCGGGAGACATTGTCACTGCATGTCTCCCAGAATGAGACAATCTTCTGCAATCTACATAAACAAAAAAAAAAAAATAAAAAAATAAAATAATAAAAAAACGTAAGAATAAAAACCTATTTTAGCCCTATCTGTCAGCGTGAAGTTTTCCACATGGACTCTGTGTTAATAAAATATTTACTGTTTCAAATTCTGGATCTATCATTATTGAATCCACTAATGGAAAGTCTACCTTGTTAATGTCTACGTCTTCTGGTTGAGGATCACAATAATAGAAATCAATATTAACATTTAACATTCTTGCTAACCTCTCACTTTCTGATGAAATGTCAAATCCTTCATATGCATCTATGGCTTCATTTAAATAACTTCTACGAGTTTTAGGATTAACACCATCAGGAATGTTATAGAAGCGTTTAAATAACCTTCTACCTTCGGCTCTTATTTGATTATCATTCATTTTAGCTGTTCCATTTTTGTTCATTTATGTAAGAATAAAATAAATAAAAATAAAGTTTATTTTTTTTAAAGTCCGAGACTCAGAGAGTCCAGGGCTAAAGTCCATAAAATGAATTAAGAACACATAAATTTTTATCATCTGCGACGTGACGAATACATTTTAATTTACTCAAGAATGCGTACCCTGATACATTAAATCTAATTCCTGTCTTATTTAATTTCACAACTTTGAAAAGGAATGTATGAATAGCTATAAAATGATGAGATGATGTTTTATGGGTTGCTTCCATTTTTTCTGAAATAAATGAATAAATATAATGCTTATACGTTTTCATATCTTTTATGTTCTTAATAACGAATGGTATAGACCTTTCAACTTCGTCTTCCTTCGGTGCTGTTCTTTCATATGAAACATTATTGGTATCTTCAATAATGAAACCACAATCACATAAAATTTTATAGGTTCCAATTGTTTCTTTTGATATTTTATCTAACAAATCAAAAACTTTATCAACACCTGTACATTTATTTAAATAATAATTTGTGTAAATATCATGGTCTTCTTTCTTAATCGTATTTGTTGCATATGTTACATTTTTCAGTGCTTTTTTGAATTTTTCAGAATCAAGAGGAGGTGAAAGTAATATACATGGATAATCTCCATCGTCAATAAATTGTAACTTATGTTTATGAATAAATTTTGTGCCTTCTTCTGAAAGTGTTTCGTCAATATCACCATCTAATAAATTTTTAGTAGATTCCAAAAAGTAATTTTTATATCTTTCCTCATGTGATTTTTGAACTTCTGATTCTGAAGCTGGGATATTCATTAAACCCTCTACTTCATTCTCAGCATTTCTCAATTCCTTAATTTTTTCATCTATTTCATTTCTTAATTGTTCCAATTTCTCAATCTCATCGTTATAATATTCATCATCTTTAATTTTTTCTTCAAAATATTCAGGAGGTGTTTCAAGGCTCTCTGAGCCCAGGTCCTCTGGACCATAAAGAGGAATATTCTCCTGTTTTTCAACTTTTTTGGGATATAAATATCTCATTATAGCCTTTTTAGTAATTGGTCCGTTATATTTAAATTCATTCAACAATCTGGAAAACTCTTTCACATTCTGCATATATGTTGGATAAGAACCGTCTCCAAAATTTTCTAAAATATTTTCTAATTCTGAATTAGTGAACTTTAAAGATTTCAATGAATTAGTTGTTATACTCATTTTCTTACGAATTAAAAAATAAATTTTCATAAATGTAAGACATGAATTTTTAAAGTTTATTTTTTTATTTTTTATTTCATTATGGTAGTGAATCTTTTACTCGTTTATGAGGTCTTTGATTATGACTCCATTGATTCCATTCAGGATTTAAACAATGTTTAATTAATCGCGGAATATCTGACATCATCTATATATAGCTTCTTTTAAAATTAATGTTAATTTTTCATTTTTTATTTCATTATGTATGGGTTGTGTGTAAATGTCTTACAATTTTGAAAATTTTTTAAATCTTGATTTATTCAAAAACGTAAGAATCAAAACCGTAAGAATCATACATTTTTTACTTCATATGTTAAAAAAAATGATACAAAATCGCTCGATATTGTATGAATTCTTACGTTTACAAAAAAAGTCACATAACCCGTCAACATATACTACTTCAAGTAAATATTTTTCAATATCAGGTGAAGATTGTTTAATTGCAATATCCAAAGGACATATTAATGGAGCTTCATTTAGCAAAAATAAATATGGTAAGAAAGATAATATCATAAAACAACGATCAATTTGAAAAGGAAGAGAACATCGTAAAACAATTATCAAAATAAAAAGAAAGGTAATTCCATAAAACAATAATATATATGAATAGTAAGAAAATTCTATAAAACAACGAGAAATATGAAAAGAAAGAAAATAAGTTCCATATTAACATCAGCACCATGTTTTACTAAGTATTTGACAATTTCGATTGATTTCTTTTTGATTGCAATACTAAGAGAGCATTCATTAATATCAAGAGAATTTCATTATACAATGATAAACATGAAAAGAAAGATAATTCCATAAAACAACTATAAATATGTAAAGAAAGAGAATTCTATAAAACATTGATAAATTTGAAAATAAAGAAAATATAATGAAACAATGATAAATATGGAAAGAAAGAGAATCCTATAAAACGTTGATAAATTTGAAAATAAGGAAAATATAATGAAACAATGATAAATATGTAAAGAAAGATGATTCCATAAAACAACAATAAACATGAAAAGAAAGAGAATGATATAAATCAACGATAAATATGAAGAGAAAGAGAATATTATAAAATAATGATAAATATGATATGGAAGAGAATATAATAATACTATAATGAATATGAAAATAAACAAAATTTCATAAAACAATGGTAAATATGAAAAGAAATATAATTTCATGATACTATAATAAATATGATAAAAAAGATAATTCCATAAAAAGATGATAAATATTAACATAAAAAAGATGTAATAATATAATGATAAATATGTAAAGAAGATAACGTCATAAAACGATGATAAATATGAAATGAAAGAGAATTAAATTAGATAAAGATTAATATTAAAAGAAATACAACCCAGAAAATCAAAGATAAATATGAAAATAAAGAAAATAGGATAAAACAATAATAAATATGAAAGGAAAGAAAATTCCATCAAAAAATAATGAATATGAAAAGATATACAACCCAGTAAATCAATGAAAAATGTGAAAAGAAAAATAATTCCATAAAATAATGATAGATATTAAAAGAAATATAATTCCATAAAATAATGATAAATATGAAAAGAATGGTAATTCCATAAAGTAATGATAGATATGAAAAGTAAGAAAATTTGATAAAACAATAATAAATATGAAAAGAAAGAGAATAAGTTTCATGTTAACATCAGCACCATGTTCAACTAAGAATGTGACAATTTCTATTAAATTCATGTCGATTGCAATACTAAGTGGGGATTCACCAATATCAAGAGAATTTCATTAAACAATGATATATATGAAAAGAAATATAATTCCATAAAATGATTATATATATGAAAAGAAAGATAACTTCATCAAATAATGATTATTTTATAAAGAAAGATAATTTGGTAAAATAATGATAAATATACAAAGAAATATAATTCTGTGAATTAATGATAAATATGTAAAGAAAGTTAACTTCATAAAATAATGATAAATATGAAAAGAGAGAAAATTTCATAAAACAATGATATATATAATAAGAATGAGAATAAGCTTCATATTAACATCAGCACCATGTTCAATCAGAGATTTGGCAATTTCGATTGATTTCACTCTTATTGCAATAGTAAGAGGTGTTTCATTAATCTCAAGGGAATTTCATTACTCAATGATAAACATGAAAATATAGATAACTTTATAAAACAATGATAAACATGAAAATAAAGATAATTCCATAAAATAATAATAAATATGAAAAGAAAGGGAATGAAATAAAACAATAATAGGTCAGGTGAGTGGGGCTTCCAGGCGCGTTGCGCCCTCTAGCCCCGAAGATGTTTAGTATAAATGAAGTTTTTATTCGGAAAATTGTTAGTCTTCTGGTGTGAATTCGGAGGACTCTTCTTGGATAGAGTCTTGTATTTCCTCCTCCTCTTCTTCCTCCATTGCTTCTGGGAAGAAGCCTTCTTCTGGGTCGAAAACATTATATAATGTGTCACTTTTCACAAATTATATATGTTTTCATGTTTTGTCACTTTTCTGTCACTTTTCGGGTAAAAACATTTTTATTATTATATATAAATGAATTTTACAAAACCGCCGTTACCGTTCTTTGGAAATAAGAGTAGATGTAAAGATATTATATTGAGAGAACTTAAGAAACTACCGAATGGTCTAACATTTGTAGATTTGTTCGGTGGAAGTTTCTATATATCCCATTTATGTCATACCGTATTTCCTGACTCAAAGATTATATGCAATGACTTCGACAACTATATGGACCGTCTCAAACATATACCAGACACAAACAATATATTGAAAGAGTTAAAAGAAAAGATTCAGATAGGTAAGATGGAACGTATACCATTAGATAAGAAAAATATTGTGAGAGAGGTTTTGAAAAAAGCAGAATATATAGACTGGGATAGTATATCTGCTAGACTATTATATAGTGGTGCTATAAGAGTTCATGACATTGAAACACTTATGTCAAAAGTTTTATATCTTAACTATACAAATGTTTTCAAAGAGAACATAGAAAAATATATTGAGGGTATAGAGTTTGTGAGATGTCATTGGACAGAGTTGTATGAAAAATATAAAGACAAGGAAAATGTTTTCTTTATAGTGGACCCGCCGTTCTATAACACATGGGATTTTCAATACCAAGTAGACTGGACTTTGAGAGACTCTTTAGAAACTTTAGACGTTATACATAACCATCCATGCTTTTACTTTACATCCGATAAAAGTGGTTTGGAAAGTGTCATGAAATGGCTAGAAGATATAAACGACTATGAGTTTAGATATGACAAGATAGAATATGAGAGAGGTCCTATAAACTGGAGAAAGTGTCACAAAAAGAAATTTTATTAGTAAGTAAATGTGGTTTGAAATAGGACTACTTGTTTTAGGTTTTTTCCATTGTGTCATTTATTTATTTGACGTGGCAGAAAAGTACAGAGAATATGAAGATGAACCAATGCCTGCAAATGTTCAGTATATGTACTCGTAAGAGATATTTTTATCTAATATTAAATGGACGCACAGAACTTAGCGAATGCACAGCAACCTGGACAACCAAACCCAGAGAATATTCCAAATGAAGTTAGAATACAAACTGCAATGGCAAACTATGGTCAAGTGCCAACAGATGTACAAATGCAAACTGCCATGTCAAATGACGCTGCGTTAGGTTTGCCACCATGGTATGCAAATATGAGATGGAAAGAGTTTTATACAAACCCTGAAGTGGGATATAAACAACTTTATGCAGATGACGCGAACA